CCCCCCCGTCGCCATAGCGACGGCGAGGGGGCCTAAATAAACCTTTCGTTTATATTTCATCTGTACCCGATACCCTCGGCACAGCCGCGTTTTCATCTGCAGGCCTCTCCCACGGCTGCAAGGCAGCTGGCAGCATGTAAGCCTGCTTCAGAACAGTGTCAGCACTCAGATTTTACACAAATGATGTCAAAGCAAGAACCTCATGATGCTCAACTTCACTTTTTGTGTCGATGTAGAAGTTGTCCCTTAGAGCAACAGTATAGGAGAATCGAGATAAAGTATATCATAAAAATATACAGTACAAGAAAGAAATATATACATACAAGAAAGACAAGGAGTTATTACAGAGGATCCAGCGAAGGCACAAAGTGAGGAGGGGTCTGATGCATCTCTTGTGAGGACAGACTGCAGGACTGGGCCTGGTTAGTCTGGAGCAGAGACAGCCCAGGGGATCCCATCCCTGCACATCAATATTTCAAAGGCAGGGGCCAGAAGATGGTGCCAGACTCTATTTGGTGGTTCCAAGCAACAGGACAAGGAGTAATGGCTGTAAACTAAAAAAAAAAAAAAAAAAAGTTTCACCTCAGCATGAAGAAAACCTTGTTCACATTGAGGGTGGCAGAGCACAGAGGGAGGTTATGGATTCTCCCTCTCTGGAGACATTCCAAACCCATCTGGACATGTTCCTGTGTTACCTGCTCCAAGTGACCATGCCTTGGATTGGGTGACCTCCAGAGGTCCCTTCAAAACTAACAATTCCATGATTCTGTGAAATATGTATAAATAAGGGTTTGAAAATTAAAATAAGCAATTCTCCCTTTTCCAAATTTATAATCATATCCCTTTTTGCTGATTTCATCTTCACTTTCTATCATGCCATAGGGAAAAAACACCAAATTGTATTGGTTCACAAAGGAGAACACTTCAAACATATTAGTATTTTTAAAAATACCTCATTAATTTTGAAGACATGAGGCAATCCACTACAATCCCTTATTTCCATGACTTAAAATAACTTATAACAATTTTGCTAAGCATTTCATTCACTGAATTGCTTTGCTCTGGCTTAGCCTGAATTTACCTAGTTCTAAGAAAAAGTTTTGAATTAGCAGAGAATCTACAATATCCCTAATGGTGTTGCTCCGCTGATTAGTAAAAAAAGGAATTATACTCTGCTTCTGGCCTTAGTTTTATTCATCACCTGGCAGATGAAACTGGACTTATTCTGTTTATAAAATCCTGTATTTAGCCTTTGTCGTGAGGCTGGAAACATGCCTTTAGTGTAATGTGATTTGCTTAGAGCCAGATGGAAAGAGCTTCATCTTATGATCACACAGGAGTTTTGGTGGTAAGCAGCAAAACAGGACTAAAGGTTTCCTTTTGCTGGCACAGTGCTGAGCCCTCAGACATTAAATAAATGTTGTATGTCTACAATCTCCCGCCCTGAGTGACCAATCAAACAAGACTCTGGTCTCCCAGTTGAGTTTGTTCTCTGCTTTTTATTCCAGCCATGGTTGCTGAGGTTTCCCCGGGACAGCTTGTGTTAAAGGTCTCATAAATTGGCTACAGCCACCCACATGGGTGGATGCCCACATACTTCTCCCTCTATTCACCAAAATATTTTCCATGCAAGTGTTCCAGGACAGCACTTTTCCTGGACCCCAGAGGAGGGCACTGATGAGAACCTAAAATCCATACACAGCAAAGGGAGAGGAAAAAAATCCAACCCCAAAACCTTTGCTTTGAATTCAGTCCTGCTTGTGAGGCAAACGCAGGCGGACCAAAGCATCTTCTGTAGCTTTTGACTGATTTGTTCTCCACCCAAAGCACCACAGCCCAACACCACTTATGTCAGATAAAAAGACAAGGCTTTAAGTGAAAGAAAAACATCTGAGGAAGATCCCCTTTGAAGCTGCAGATCCAGTTCAAAGTCACACGCATCAAACAGAACTAGCAATGCTTTAGACAGAAAAGCCTAAATGAGTCTTTTTTTCTATACCACCACGTGCTTGGGATGTTGAGAGAACTCTGGGTGAGGTTTTAATCACTCAGAACAGATTCTAACTGAAAATACAGAAAAGCCTATGCGACATTCACATTCTTGTTTAAATGGGCAACACAGATGATGCTAATTTCAATTAGTGGGGATGCATCCTGACCAAAATAAGCATGGGGTAAACCCTTTCTTCAATGAAAGCAGTTTGCATAGCTCATTAGGATAACCTTCACTGGAGGTAGATTTGTTACTGTTTAAAAGGACATGTAGGAGGTTCCTTGACATATCTTGTCTAGCATCAGGTTCCCTGCTCTTTTTTGTTACATGGGTTCAGACTTTAGATTGAGTCTTGCTGTGGCAGGTTGGAAAACAGACTGATTGATTTCTGAGCATAAAATCAGGAGGGCTTACTGAGATTCCCATACTAAAGCAAACTGCCCACATTGCAAATCTTGATTGTTTCACCAGCATTATTTTGCAAATTTTCTGTGATTTTTTTTCATACTTAGACAGAACTACCACAAAAATCACACCGTGGCACTAAATGGCAGTAGTCTAAAATTTATATTTGAACAAGAGCTGATGATTCTCTTATCTTGAACCATCCTGTGCAACTAACACACAGTTGTAGCCACTCACGACCATTTCACAGTTATTAGGAAAGGAGGTAAAGCTCACCTTATGTATAATAAACGCAAGTTTAACCTGTTAGTTCAGGTCACTGAAGTAGCTAGTTCCAAACCCCCCGACATACTTTCACATCAGAGCTCCACTGAAGCTTCAAAATATAAGGATGATGATATCCATCTTTTATTACGGAGTTGGTCCAGCACAAACTGAGCACCTGCTGGACCACAGCCCTTCTCAAAGCTGGCAGCGTGACCTGAAACAGAACTGACCAGTGTACAAAGTTAAGAGCTGACTGGAGACAAAATGTTTTGAAAAGGCCTGATTAAAAACCCTGACGTTTGCCTTGTCCCTCCAAAAAAATGTGAAATCCTCACAAGAAAACTCAAATCCTCCCCAGTTTGTTAGCAACTGGAGTCCAAAGTGGGCCAACACGTTCACAAAAGGAGTTCTTTTGCAGCCTCATGCTCTTGCACTGAATAATTTCCCCAAATATATTTGTCACTCTTTCAAAATTAGTATTGGATACAAAAATATCACCTTGCTTGTTTGTTTTTTAAATTATAATTTTCGTAATGAAAGCATGAAGCATATTTTTCAAAACCAGATTGATTTAGCAGGGACTGTAAATGATCCAGCTGAAACACTTCAATAACATCATCTCTCCTGTCACAGTTTTTTACAGCCCACGTCTGAAACTAAAATAAAATTACTTATTTTGAGGATCAGCATTTACAAGAACAAATGCCACATGCATATTGGACTTTTGACCCCTAAATAATGCAAATCCTATTTCTGTTACCCCCAGATTAACTGTAACCCCCAAAAAGATATGCAATTTCCATTTCCTTTCTTCTAGTCTTTTTTAAAAGCAGAGCTCCAACACCAAATCACACACCAGGACTGAATATTCCTTAAATTCTTGCTTCAGAATTCACAAGTGTACCAACCATATCATTTTAATTTAGTTGTTAGTATATACATTAACACTCAAAAGTGTGATAAAAACCAAACAAAAGTAGTTTTTTTTTAATAAACAGCATGATACAGACCGCGAAGATAAATAAAAAGCAGACTTTTTACAATTTCCCATGAACATGAACTACAATAAGTATCATAGGCCAAACATTTGTTACTTGAGTAGCACAGCAGAAGGGTTAAAAAAGGTTTCATTTTTTTTATTTAAAGTACTGCAAGACTATTCTCAGTATGACAACACATGCATCTTGCTGCATCTTAAATATTTTTTGGCCCATTATTACTAAAAATGTCTTGCTTTCTACCTACTTTACCACAGACCTTTATCACAGAAGGACACACACATGGCAACATCCCCCCCTGGCCCCAGTAGTGGTTATTTCAAAGATAATTGTCTCATTTTTAAAAGATAATTGAAACACTGGTGGGTGCTTTTACTCTCCCTTTGACATGGACAGGTAATTGCTCCCAGCTTCACTCAAGTTACACAGAAGCATTGAGAGCTGACACCCTCCTGGGCTCCATTTAGCCAAAATGCCAACAGGACGCTGGGCTGCCTTAGGAAGAGCAGGTCCAGGGAGGTGAGCCTTGCCCCTGCCCCTCTGCTCAGCACTGCTGAGGCCACAGCTGGAGCACTGGGGATCCCAGCACAGACCTGACGTGGATGTACTGGAATGAGTCCATGAGGGGCCACAAAGGTGAGGGATAGGAGAGGAGGCTGAGAGGGCTGGGATTGGTACCCTGGGCAAAGAGAAAGCCCGGGGGGCATCTGGTCAATGTACATAAATACTTCATAGAGAGGAATAAAGACAGGCAAGGGTTTTCTCAGTGCCCACTGAAAGGACATCAGGCAATGAAATTGAAGATATTTCATATAAACATTATGAAAATATATTGACTGTGGATTCCTCTTTCTCAGACAGATTCTAAACACAGCTAGACAATGTCCTGGACATCCTGTTCTGTTGCTGATCCTGCCTTGAACAGGATGTCTGGGCTAAATGAACTCCAAAGGTCTTTGCCAACTTCAGTGGTTCTGTGAAAATTCTGCAGTTGTGTTGCCATTTACAATGACAACAATATTTACAAAGTTTCAAACCTGGGAATCCAGGACTTCAGACTGCAGCCATATATATTTCAAGCCCTTTTCTCCACCAGGGAAGTAGATTTTGATAGTGGATATTCACAGTTAAAACTTGAAGAGGTGCAAGGGGGCAAAGAGAAAGGATAATACTTCCAGAAAATGAATTACACATTTATCTTCACATGAGAAATGAAGAATTTGGATCACAGTTGCTATAAGACAAGAAGATTAATCTATTCCTTTTCCTTTCTCAGCCCCAAATGAAATAGTAAGACAATTTTGGAGAGCCTGGGGCAGTTGATAATTCAGGATATAGAACATAATTAATAAAGCCTGAAAATAGATTAAAAATAGTTAAAGAAATGAGGCAGAATGAGATTCCAACTATGAATACCCAGATTTTGGCTGACAAGAATTAACTGAACTACAACAGACATAAAGATTCTTGAAAAAAACAGCTTCTGCCTGAATTAGGCTTTCAGTAACTTTAGCAATACAGGACCTATAAGCAAGTCAGGTTTAGCTGTGATTGATTTTATTATTGGAACAGGAGCCTAACAAAATGGATGCAGTTACACTGAACTGAATGGCTCCTGAAGCAGTTTAATAACTACTGGGAATCAGGCACCAGAATTTAAAAAATAAATCAAGACAGAACAGTGTATTTTTTGCCTTCCTTCTGCCGCAGGAATATTGCATCACATACAGAAGTGACAGTAAGGACACTTAAAACACACTTACACAAACCAGTGGGGACACTAACTTCAAAGTACAGGCAGAACATTGCTTCAATTGATCTTCTCTTACAAGTATTTTATGATGTTCTTATGCTCTGGGCATGTCCCAGAGGGGTGCTGGAGAGAGAAGGGACAGAGGGATTCACATCTGGCTTAGAGTCAGGAGCACTAACACAACAAGACCTCAGACTTTTCAGAGTCTATCCGATAAAGGTCAGAAGTCCAGAACACTGTATGGCAAATGAAGAACAATTATTTTTCCTGAGTGTGGGTTCAACAAGTCTGTATGCTACAAAAGAGTAGGAAGAAGAAACATTTAAGCTAGCAAGGAACAAAAATATTGA